TTTTTTTTTTTTTTTTTTTTTTTTTGATTTCCCACTAGGGAGTATTTTTCCAGCTGCTAACAAAAAGAAGAATAAGAAGAAGCAAAGTGCTTTTTTTTTGAAGGCACTTCAAGTCGAATTAGGGGAAAGGATTTTCTACTCCCCCGAATGGGATGAAGTCCCTTTGTGTAACCTCGGGGGATGGGGGCAAAAGGCCCTTTCACGCCCTCCCCCGTCCATTGTCTTGCCCCCTCAATTCAGATGCACCACTCGGGTCGTCACCCGGGTTGGGCAATGCGGACAGAAGCGCCCAAGTGGCAAAGCGGTCATGGGGGGAACAGAGCGGACGGAAAAGGGAACCTAAGGGGAAATAATTACAAAACCTGGGTGAAAGGAACACATCAGGAAGAAAAGCAACACAGGTTGCCAAATGAAACCGTTTGACCTGCACACGCTTGTGAACAGATTGAAAGGGGAGAAGCCCCTTTTTATAAACATTTTTTTTTTTTTTTTTTTTTTTTTTTCTCCTCTAAAAGGTTTCCCCAGAGGGTCTTAAAAAGAGCCTTTTAAAAAAAGTTACACATTTGTGGAAGGACGATTTTTTTATCTGTGCCCATTTTGTCAGAATATTTTTTTCTTGCGTTCGTTTGGTGCACACCTTCGTATTACACCTTCGTGTCACTGCTTCGTATCACTGCTTCGTGTCCCCTCCCATTGCTTCCATTTTTTTTTTTAAGAACCCTCCATGGCGGAGAAACAAGTGGACGACTCGCCATTTTTGAAAAAAATTGAAACGTTCGAAATAGCTGATGGCAAGAACAAGAAAGGTGCCAAGGGGGAAGTGAAAAATGTGTACCGCAGTTTGGACAATGAATTCAACTTTGAGCACGAGGAGGTGGCTCCGGAGGGGGGTCAGCCCCACCATGCGAACGAGCCCGACCGTGCGAATGAACATGGTGCGAACGAAGAGGGCGTCAACCGGCATGACGCGGGGCAGACGGGCAAGGGCGAGGCAAACATAAGGACAATAAAAATCGACAGGAAGAATTTGAAAAAATTATTTAGCAGTCAGTTCTTCACACAAACCCTCACTGACGACTCGAGTACCAATTCCCTGAGCCAGATAAAAATTAACAAGCGCTATGCAACTGGCGAATTCTTTAAGGCTCTGTTTATGTTTACCTTATTCTTAACGACTTCCTACTTTGCCTTTTTTTACATTTACAAATATTTCTTTGGGAGCAGTCACCTCTGTGGGAAGCTCGACCTGTACAACTACAAGTACGAGAACCAGGTTCGCTTCATCCCTGGCGTGAGCGGCCCCAGACATTACGTCTTCACGGGTAGGTCCAGCAGCGGCCAAGCGTAGCGGCACTGAGCAGCGTAGCGACACATTGCATGGTCAGCCCCACCGTCTCTTCACAACCGCTTCGATTCACTTTTCTGTGGCAGGAAAATTCCCTTTTGATGTCATGACGTACAAGGTGCGGAAGGAGGCCCTGAAGGAAAGCATGAACGAGGAGCTGCAGAAGTACAATCAAGAGAACCCAGACAAGGACCCTGTGGAGCAAATCACAGATCTCGACGAGCACCCCATGCAGATCCTCTCCTTTGTGAAATACAATAACAAGATGAAGTGCGAGAAAAGTATATTTGACCTGTACAGACCTTTTTACTTAAAGTCAACAGACGTGGACATCACACAAAAGGACTTTGTCCTGAGTGAAGTGAACTACGGCTTCGTTTCTAATCCGTACAATGTACCCGAGGCCAAGGTGAGTGCACCGGACAAGCTGTCCTGCCCACTGCGTAGTGCTTGCCGCTCACCCATCACTCTCCCCCGCCCCCTCCCCGATGCAGCTCTACACCGAAGTGGCAAATCTCATGAAGAAGAGTGAAGCAAAAAATAAAATTTGTTACATGACTTCATATTTGAATTCCTTGCGTGAAGACAAGGGGGGAAATAATGTGAGCCGGATCCTGAGCGACGGAAGTACCACCACTTCAAATGCAGAACAGACGACACAGAAGGAGACTCCATCGAGTGAGGGTACCAACAAGGCAACGGAAGTCATCACAGCAGCGTTTGAAGGTGCAAAGAAATATTTTAAAGGAACACCCAATGGAGAAGAACAGATCCCGCAGAAGAAGACAAATGAGTTGGTTGTGGGGGCAGGAGCAAGTTACTTCAGTGGTGTGTTGCAAACCCCCAAAAGGAAAATCGTTTACCTCTACGATTATTACGGTAAGAGCGATTATGAGGGGGGGAAACATGAAAAGGGGATCTGCCTCCCCCCCCCCTCTACCACTGTGCCGTTCCTCTAACAAGGCAAGCGTTTTGTGGTTTTCTGTGATTATGGCATTTTTTTCCCCCCTCACCTACTCAGACAACAACTTCGTCGACCTGCTCGTGGCCATTTACAAAATGCAATATGGAAATGAATTCAGCGATTTGAAGATTTACTGGGAAGACTTAAAGAAGAAGTTCAAGGTCATCAGCCCGGAGGAGATCTACCTGCTCGAGTGGTTAGTGCACCCAAAAGAAAAAAAATACCTTTACATCACTCATTTCGTTATGTGCTGACCTGTCCATTGCTAATCGCTTCCCTCCCCCTCTTAGGTACTGCCTCGGTGTGAACTACAACTTAATTAAAAATAATAATCAGTTCAAGTTAAACTGCGTTGATCTTTTAAAATAGAAGAAGGAAAAAAAAAAAAAAAAAAAAAAGGAAAAAAAAAAAAAAACGAAGAAGAGGAGCAAAAACGTTGCAGCGTAAATATATATATACTGCTCGATAAAAAACTGCGCGATGAAGTTTATCACGCGGGGGATGTGTCGTCTCCTCATCGGTTGGATGGCTTGGCCCATTCCACCTGCACACAAAAAAGGGGGTAAAAAAAAAAAAAAAAAAAAAAATGATAAGCGAGTATATCCCATTGCAAAAGCGCACAAAAAAAGGGGGTAAAAAAAAAAAGCACACCGCGACTACATGCCCACCGCGACGGGTGTGCAGGATTGGACAAAATTCGCTCCCACTCCACTTACGCTTAGCAACAGGTTTTCAAATCCGTGCCTGTTCAACTTTTCAATGGCCCTCTTTGCTTCTTCCCTATTGGAATAAGTGATGAAGGCAAATCCCTTCGAATTTTGCGTTTCCCTGAAGAAAAAAAAAAATGCCACATTTCCATGCATGAGTAATAAACCGACGCGCGTATCTCCATGCCTGAGTAATATGCAACACCCGCTTTTCTTACTTGTGCTTGGCAAGGAACATCCTCGATATTTGACCAACTCTTCCAAACAGATTGGACAACTCGCTTTCGTTGACTTCTTCGCTTAAATTCGTCACACGAACAGTGCACTCCTTGTTTTGAGTGTCCTTCAGGAGGGACAGAAAAAAAAAAAAAAAAAAAATGTAGTGATGGATTTGTCAAATGGGACACACAAAAAATGCAGCTTGTAACACTTCCGTCTTCCATTTCGTAAACACAAATGAGTCGGACGCTGGAGGAGCTTCTCCCCCCCGACGTTGCACAAAAAAAAGCGACGCAACGCGACGACACGAGACGAGGAAACCTACATGTGAACGATAGAACAGCATGTCTCTCTTGGCGGCCAATTTGTTGGGGTCGTCCGGTTTAACTTCCTGCAAGGGAGAAGTGGGGGAAAAAAAAAAAAAAAAGGGAAGAGGGGTGTTAGGAGGAAGCAACAAAAAGGTCGTTCACACAAGCAGTGATTCGAGGAAAGGTAAACATGCGCGTGGGCAATCCTTTCACCACCTCGCCAGAACAACAAAAGTGTTACCTCCACATCCTCATCCTTAAATATTTTGAATCTGTTTTTCAAATCCTTTGCAGTCTTGTCCGCCTGCTCCGTGAACAGGTAGTCGTACTCTGTTCCCTTGAGGAAATCCAGCAGGTTGTTCTTTGGCACTTCAATATTCACAACGTCCGTCGGTTCAACTATGACGGAGCTACACTGCGATGTGGTCGGGGAGGAGAGAAAGAAATATATACGGTCACATGAATGAAGAAGTGGAATGAGTAGTTCATGCGACATTGCACACTCCGCGCGTGAGGCACACGCTCTCCTCTGTATCCCCCTCCCTTACAGTATCTATGTTAAAATTTTTTAAGTTAAGTCTGTTGTTAATTTCCTTATTAAGTTTTTTCTTTATGACCACTTCTTTTATTTTCTTCGTGACCTGTCAGACAAGAGGTAAAAAAAAAAAAAAAAAAAAAAAAAAAAAAAAAAAAAAAAAAATGCAGCACACATATGTGGTAGGATGATTAGTTCAGGGTATAAAAATAATGGCGACTGGCCATTTGAGAGCAGTAACGGTTCAGGGTCTTGTCTTTCCCCCTGCCTCCTCATTTTACCTTCACCGTTTGCTTTTTCAGATTCTCTGAATACTTGGTGACAACCTTAATCCCATTTTCGTAGTTGGTGAAGTAGGATAACTTTTTATTACTTTCCAGGTCGTCATCTGCGTCGATGTCTTCCCACTTCTTCTCTGCAAAAAAAAAAAAAAAAAAATGAGACGTGTAAAAATGTTGCACGGGATACAACATAATTACTAAATAGGGGGAAAACCCATTAAAAACAGGTACGTGCACTTGTTCTTTTTTTTTTTAAATCAACTTACTGCTTTCATTTTCATTCTGCGACTCCTCATCTTCTACGTCAATGTCCACCCAGTTTTTCCTCTCTGCGAAGGGGGGGCGGGGGGCGGCGGCAATGGAACGAAGATGAACATGTACAAAAAAACATCATCGCGAAGGGGTGGGGGGAACAGATTGCTTATGCAACTGTGTCATTGTATCATCTCATCCCCTTCTTCCGTTTCTCCATTCCATTTGGCATGAGTTTTTTTTTAAAGGGTAAGGAAACAACACAGCTGGGGATGACGTGGCACTTTACCTGTTTGTATCATCTTCGCGTTGTTGACGACAGAACAGCAGAGGGGGGGAGGGGTTTAATAAAAGTTTCTCTTATAGGCGAGCAGGTTTTTTTTCTTACGCATATGCAAGCGAATTCGTGTTATATGCATATGCCTTTTATACTCCTAACGCGCAAGTACTACATATGTCACTGCCAAAGGAGAAAAAAATGGTATTCCTCTTTTGGTGATGTTAAAAAATTTCCCTTTGCCGCCTTGTGGGCTGTTTCCTTCGTTTTGCTTTCCTCTGAAAATTTTTTTTTTTTTTTTTTTTCACCACATGGGTATAAAGTGAAATGTTAAACAGTTATATAGCTAAGTCGCGTTGCCAAGCGGTGCTCTGTGCGAAAAAAAAAAAAAAAAAAAAACAATTCCCCAATAGGGGAAACGGCAACAAGGAAGCGGTAAAAAAAAAGGAAAGCTCTACAGGATGCGGCCCAAAAGAGCAGCTAGGGTTTTATACGATAAACAACGCCGCTACGCCATTATGCAGTTTAAACCTCTGCAACGCACAACGGGGCAAAAAATTTTTTTTGGAAAATTTTTTTTTATTCATGATGTCGCGGGTTATTACAACATATGTTTTAACGTGGTTTTTTTTTTTTTTTCCTTGGTCCGTTTTGCTAACCTTCAAACGCGTCGAGTCCCTCTCCCCTGGCGCGCGCTCAGTGGACCGGTGTTAAAAACAAGTCTCACGCACCCTCACCCACCTGGGCAAATTTAAAAATGCGCACAGGTAAACTCAGACACCCCTGTTTGTAGGTAGCCATAAAAAAAAAAAAAAACACCGTTATGTTGGCGTCACCCCATTTTGGAAAAAAAAAAATTCTCAGTGGGAGAAACACACATCCACATGAAGGAAGAGAGTTGAAACGCAGAGCGACCAATGGACCTCTTTTTAACCCACCGGCGAATGGGTGAACAAACCAACGTCTTCGCTAAAACTGACACGACGGAAGGGCCGAAAAAAAAAAAAAAAAAAACGTATGGCTTAGCTGTTTATTTTGTATTACACAATTATGCAGTGAGGAGTGAAAAAAAAAAAAAAAAAAAAAAAAGGACCCCTTTTCCGTGCTGGCTTCCCTGCACATATTTATATATGTACCCACTTTAACCTGAAAGTTGGGCCACTGAAATGTTCACGGAGATGCCGACTGGGGGGGAGGGGTGGAAATAAAAAATATCTCCCCTTCGCTTTGTCCCTTGCGTCATCGCCCGTCCCTCCGTGGGCGCATCCTTGTGAGGCTATTGACACATGAGGATCTGCTGGTAGGAGGCGGACAGGATATTCGTGAGGCCTGCAGGAGAGGGGCGGGGGGAAGACATGTGTTGACTCGATGTTAGCGGTACAACGTTAGCGGTGCAGCACCTTCACGGCTCCGCCGCTCATAGAAGCAGGTTAGTAGTTTTACTCACCCGGAAAGAGCACCCCACGGGGAACGAAAAAAAAGGAAAAGTGGAAGAGCATGTACACCGCCTTGCACGGAGCCAACAAAGAACAAATGGACAGGTAGAGGAAGAGACGTTTCACATAAGGGGGGTAGTTGGCATACTTATACAGGATGAAAAAAAAAAGGGAAAATTTTATAACAGATTTTATGTCCCCCAGGTAGTAAAAGTTAACAAGTTCCTTGAACCTATCGACTAGCTGATTACTCATTAATGGAAAGTCCACCCCCAAACGGAGCAGCAACTTTTTTCTGTCCACATGTCGCAGCTCCTCAATTTCTTTCTTTATGTGATCCAAGTTTATCCCCTTAGCATGTACCAATTTGGGAAATCCTTTATCGAATTCACTGAACGAGTGAAAAATGTCTTCCTCACCAACCACGTAATTTTTTTTCTCCAATTGGTGTAACAGCTTTTTATATTCTTCAAGGAGAACTAGGTAACTGACATACTTTATTTTTTGTTCCAACTGTTTTTTTTTTTTTTTTTTTTTTTTTTTTTTTTCCTTTTTTTTC